GGAACACCGCGTGTTGTTGGCTTCGTCAACAACTTTTTGCCTTTTTCCGCTTTTTACTTGTATTTCTCTAGTTTATAACAATTTCTAAATATTATTTCGAAAAACATTTTCTTGCTTTGTTGCCATAAACTATAAAATATTCGTTGCCCTGAGGTCGCAATACATATTTTGGTTAAGAATCCAGCAAATCATTGCTATCCCAATACGAAAGGGCCATCCGCAGCCCTGTATCTGTCATATCTCAAAGGTGCAAATAGAAATAAATCGCCCTCGAGTAGCAGGGGCGAAATGTGGCACAAGGGTCCAGTTAAGACCTTCGACTTTCGCCAACGACCATACCACGCTGAATACATCGGTTCTCGTCCGATCACCGAATTAAGCAGCGTCGGGCGCGGTTAGTACTTAAATGAGGGACCGCTTGGGAACACCGCGTGTTGTTGGCTTCGTCAACAACTTTTTGCCTTTTTCCGCTTTTTACTTGTATTTCTCTAGTTTATAACAATTTCTAAATATTATTTCGAAAAACATTTTCTTGCTTTGTTGCCATAAACTATAAAATATTCGTTGCCCTGAGGTCGCAATACATATTTTGGTTAAGAATCCAGCAAATCATTGCTATCCCAATACGAAAGGGCCATCCGCAGCCCTGTATCTGTCATATCTCAAAGGTGCAAATAGAAATAAATCGCCCTCGAGTAGCAGGGGCGAAATGTGGCACAAGGGTCCAGTTAAGACCTTCGACTTTCGCCAACGACCATACCACGCTGAATACATCGGTTCTCGTCCGATCACCGAAATTAAGCAGCGTCGGGCGCGGTTAGTACTTAGATGAGGGACCGCTTGGGAACACCGCGTGTTGTTGGCTTCGTCAACAACTTTTTGCCTTTTTCCGCTTTTTACTTGTATTTCTCTAGTTTATAACAATTTCTAAATATTATTTCGAAAAACATTTTCTTGCTTTGTTGCCATAAACTATAAAATATTCGTTGCCCTGAGGTCGCAATACATATTTTGGTTAAGAATCCAGCAAATCATTACTATCCCAATACGAAAGGGCCATCCGCAGCCCTGTATCTGTCATATCTCAAAGGTGCAAATAGAAATAAATCGCCCTCGAGTAGCAGGGGCGAAATGTGGCACAAGGGTCCAGTTAAGACCTTCGACTTTCGCCAACGACCATACCACGCTGAATACATCGGTTCTCGTCCGATCACCGAAATTAAGCAGCGTCGGGCGCGGTTAGTACTTAGATGAGGGACCGCTTGGGAACACCGCGTGTTGTTGGCTTCGTCAACAACTTTTTGCCTTTTTCCGCTTTTTACTTGTATTTCTCTAGTTTATAACAATTTCTAAATATTATTTCGAAAAACATTTTCTTGCTTTGTTGCCATAAACTATAAAATATTCGTTGCCCTGAGGTCGCAATACATATTTTGGTTAAGAATCCAGCAAATCATTACTATCCCAATACGAAAGGCCATCCGCAGCCCTGTATCTGTCATATCTCAAAGGTGCAAATAGAAATAAATCGCCCTCGAGTAGCAGGGGCGAAATGTGGCACAAGGGTCCAGTTAAGACCTTCGACTTTCGCCAACGACCATACCACGCTGAATACATCGGTTCTCGTCCGATCACCGAAATTAAGCAGCGTCGGGCGCGGTTAGTACTTAGATGAGGACCGCTTGGGAACACCGCGTGTTGTTGGCTTCGTCAACAACTTTTTGCCTTTTTCCGCTTTTTACTTGTATTTCTCTAGTTTATAACAATTCTAAATATTATTTCGAAAAACATTTTCTTGCTTTGTTGCCATAAACTATAAAATATTCGTTGCCCTGAGGTCGCAATACATATTTGGTTAAGAATCCAGCAAATCATTACTATCCCAATACGAAAGGGCCATCCGCAGCCCTGTATCTGTCATATCTCAAAGGTGCAAATAGAAATAAATCGCCCTCGAGTAGCAGGGGCGAAATGTGGCACAAGGGTCCAGTTAAGACCTTCGACTTTCGCCAACGACCATACCACGCTGAATACATCGGTTCTCGTCCGATCACCGAAATTAAGCAGCGTCGGGCGCGGTTAGTACTTAGATGAGGGACCGCTTGGGAACACCGCGTGTTGTTGGCTTCGTCAACAACTTTTTGCCTTTTTCCGCTTTTTACTTGTATTTCTCTAGTTTATAACAATTTCTAAATATTATTTCGAAAAACATTTTCTTGCTTTGTTGCCATAAACTATAAAATATTCGTTGCCCTGAGGTCGCAATACATATTTTGGTTAAGAATCCAGCAAATCATTACTATCCCAATACGAAAGGGCCATCCGCAGCCCTGTATCTGTCATATCTCAAAGGTGCAAATAGAAATAAATCGCCCTCGAGTAGCAGGGGCGAAATGTGGCACAAGGGTCCAGTTAAGACCTTCGACTTTCGCCAACGACCATACCACGCTGAATACATCGGTTCTCGTCCGATCACCGAAATTAAGCAGCGTCGGGCGCGGTTAGTACTTAGATGAGGGACCGCTTGGGAACACCGCGTGTTGTTGGCTTCGTCAACAATTTTTGCCTTTTTCCGCTTTTTACTTGTATTTCTCTAGTTTATAACAATTTCTAAATATTATTTCGAAAAACATTTTCTTGCTTTGTTGCCATAAACTATAAAATATTCGTTGCCCTGAGGTCGCAATACATATTTTGGTTAAGAATCCAGCAAATCATTGCTATCCCAATACGAAAGGGCCATCCGCAGCCCTGTATCTGTCATATCTCAAAGGTGCAAATAGAAATAAATCGCCCTCGAGTAGCAGGGGCGAAATGTGGCACAAGGGTCCAGTTAAGACCTTCGACTTTCGCCAACGACCATACCACGCTGAATACATCGGTTCTCGTCCGATCACCGAAATTAAGCAGCGTCGGGCGCGGTTAGTACTTAGATGAGGGACCGCTTGGGAACACCGCGTGTTGTTGGCTTCGTCAACAACTTTTGCCTTTTTCCGCTTTTTACTTGTATTTCTCTAGTTTATAACAATTTCTAAATATTATTTCGAAAAACATTTTCTTGCTTTGTTGCCATAAACTATAAAATATTCGTTGCCCTGAGGTCGCAATACATATTTTGGTTAAGAATCCAGCAAATCATTGCTATCCCAATACGAAAGGGCCATCCGCAGCCCTGTATCTGTCATATCTCAAAGGTGCAAATAGAAATAAATCGCCCTCGAGTAGCAGGGGCGAAATGTGGCACAAGGGTCCAGTTAAGACCTTCGACTTTCGCCAACGACCATACCACGCTGAATACATCGGTTCTCGTCCGATCACCGAAATTAAGCAGCGTCGGGCGCGGTTAGTACTTAGATGAGGGACCGCTTGGGAACACCGCGTGTTGTTGGCTTCGTCAACAACTTTTTGCCTTTTTCCGCTTTTTACTTGTATTTCTCTAGTTTATAACAATTTCTAAATATTATTTCGAAAAACATTTTCTTGCTTTGTTGCCATAAACTATAAAATATTCGTTGCCCTGAGGTCGCAATACATATTTTGGTTAAGAATCCAGCAAATCATTACTATCCCAATACGAAAGGGCCATCCGCAGCCCTGTATCTGGCATATCTCAAAGGTGCATATTTATTTAATTGATTACCATCTTTGTCTACCAAATATCATTTTTGCCATCTAATATGTAAAGAAGAATCCAAAATATTAAGTCATTTATGAAAAAGGAACATCATAATCGTACGTTTGCAACAGGTACTACATTCAAAAAAAAGAAAAAGAAAATTGAGATATTTTTCTGAGAACGGACTCTATAAAGCTACATAATTAATTTTTTTAAATTAAAGTTATTGCATTTTAACATTCCGTCCAGATTCGCAGATTTTGTAATTTGAGATTGCCGGTATATGTGAATATGTCTATGTATTTTTTAAATAATGTTGGGACAATTAAGCTTTCAGTGGTAGACTTATTGGATTCTGTGAAAGTTGAATGCAATTTCGAATATTAGGTAAAGATGAAATGTTTTATGTTAAGTCGTAAAGAACTATTACCAATTGTAAAGTGCCAAAACTAATTTAATAAAGTCTACTTTGATTCATGCTGCGATTATGACCATATAGTAATTTTAAGACAACACCTTAAAATTGCCTTAAATATAAAAGAAAGCTTAAATTTTGGTATAACTTTATTTATGGTTTCTGACATTGTTTCCTTAAAGTAATTATAGCTTTTATCATTTCTTGCAAGCCCCATCTGCCCTTTTTTAGGCGGTAAAAAAATGCTAAACTGAAGAAAGCAAATAAATCAGATAATTTTCAATCGAGATTTTTGGTAAGGTAATTTAAAAACAGACTAGAATTGCCAGACATGTTTATATCGTTTAATTGAAGCGAATGTTGATTTTTGTTATGTTGCCATATATGTTGGATAAATCAATACTCTATTGGATATATAGAAATATACATTTTTCGATATTTCTCGCTAATGTCGATCTCTCTGTTCTGTTTCTATTTCTTTTAATATACATATGTACACAATCCCATTGCCCAGTGTGCTGTAAACTGGGCTTTAAAGGTCACATGGAACTACTTCAAGTCAAGTGTTTGCTTAAACCACTCGAGACGAACAGTCTATTTGTGCTTTACTCCTCCATTTGCTGAATTCATTATGATTTTTTTAAATTTAATTTGCGGAGGAGAAAGTGGCTTTATATGGCTTTACAATTAGAACATTCTATACCCTGCAAAGCATAAGCATTGTTTTAAAAATCAAAGCAACTTTTTTTGGTTTGAAACAGAGAATACTTTTGGGCGTTTCTAGGCGCCTAAAGCTTTCATAGGAATTTAACATGTTGCTGCTTTGAATGAGACATGAACTTTGTCCTATAATACCCTAAAAATACCCTAGAATATAACTTGCCAGACTGCAAAAGTGCAAGGTAAATATTAATTGAAATGATAAATGACACAGAGCACTATTTATTAATGGCTTTTGGCCAAGATCAAGATCATTGGCTGGAAGTTCTGCCGGCTCTCTATGCTGCAGCATGACTTGGCTATATTCCAGTCGAAATCCGTTCCGACGACGACTATATAAACTGGAGCTAGGCCCTGGATAAGACATCAGTTTCTTCGGAGCCAGTTCCCTGTGCAATAACAGTTTCCAGGTTCAGAGAAAGAAAAGCTCAACTCAGCAGATCATCATCATGCGCTTCGCTCTGCTCGCTATCTTCCTCTTTGGCGTCCTCTTCGCCATCGTGTCCGCCGGCGGCAATGGCGGTGGAGGTGGTGGCCAAGGAGGCTGGCAAAAGAGCGGAGGAGGAGGTGGAGGCGGTAGCCAAGGAGGCTGGCAGAAGAACGGAGGAGGAGGCGGAGGCGGTGGCCAAGGAGGTTGGCAGAAGAACGGAGGAGGAGGCGGAGGCGGTGGCCAAGGAGGTTGGCAGAAGAACGGAGGAGGAGGCGGAGGCGGTGGCAAGCACGGCGGTGGTGGCGGAGGAGGTGGTGGCAAGCATGGTGGCGGCGGAGGCGGCGGCAAGCATGGAGGTGGCGGCTGGTAGATCCTAGAGAGAGAGAGATCTCAAATCCGAACCGAAGATACTTCCAGCAACTACACCCGACTCCAAGTTTTGATGCAGCCAAACACTTATTCCTCTTCCTTACCGACTTTCTGCAACTACCAACTACTCATTACTTTTCCTGTCCTTTAATTTCTGAGAAAAACTAGCCTTTCCCAACATAATTTCTTATTTAAATAAACAATTTTAACTCTTGCAAATCAAAAACATAATAGGATGTATAAAAACTAAAATGATGGATTAGGGATAAAAGGTAAGGTAAGTCTTCGAAACCGGATTTTTAATCTCTGGTTACTTCAGGAATTCCTGGGACTCCCACCTACCAGATTTCGAGTCTTCCTTAACAAATTCATCTCGTTTTGGCGGGGATTTTTCAATAGACTTGCCGGCTTCCCACATACTGATGAGTTTTGTATACAAACAACCCAATTTATTGTCAAAGTTCGTTTACATTTTACTTACATATTTAGTTGTAGTCACATTTCTGGTGTGAGTTATGGCATGATTTGACCCCTAATGCTTAACTTTAGAGCGATTAGACTTGGCCTCTCTTTTAACATCAAATCTCTGGCATTCATTTTTCCCTCTCATCTTTGGAAGATGAGTAAGAGGGATTTTCCAGCAGATGTCATGCATGTAATTGCAGTTACTCTATGGGAAAGAGAGGTATTATTACTATATCACTTGGACAACAGAGCGTATGAGTTATATATTTTAAATAATCCGGGGCGTATGAGCGATATTTTTATACATTTCCCCTAAAAGAAGTATCAACAAGTTCCCTGAAATGCTAAAAAAGTATCACGCATTCCACAATCTTCACTTTACAGTATTCAAAACTTCTTTAAATATTAAAAAAAAGTGTTGATAGTTTTATGTTACATACCATTTTTTTGTTATTTAACATGTCGATATATTATATTTTCAATATCATTTTACATAACTAGTCAGAGCATCAAAGAGTGAGGTGTTCCAGCGGAGCAGCCTCTGGCCCATTGCGAGTAATTAATGTTGTGTAACTCCCCCGAGCTTCCCATGAGAGCGATCCCACTTTGATTCTATACTATCCCATCCCCCTACCTGTACTCATGTTCCCAAACAAACAATGGGATGGATCTTATAAAGCTAGAGGCCCATCGTCGATCGATGACTAGTTGTTCATCAGCCGCGACATCGAACTAACGAACACGGACGAGAATCGAATCAAAGTGCAAATCCAAAGACAAGCTACCCGGAACCGGAACTAAGATGAATCTTTGGCAGCGGTGTAGCCTGTGGCTGCTAATCCTCTCCAGCTGTGTGGACTTTGGACAGCCCTCATTGCTGGGCTTGAAGAAGAAGCTACTCTTTGGCGGTGGCGGCCTCGGTGGAGGCTGGGGAGGTGGCGGAGGAGGTGGATTCGGCTGGGGTGGAGGCGGAGGAGGTGGCGGCTATCATGGAGGAGGCGGCGGAGGAGGCTATCATGGAGGCGGTGGAGGAGGCTATCACGGTGGAGGCCAAGGTCACGGAGGTGGCAGCACAATCGATGTCTACATTGTAAAGCCAGTCTACACCGGAGGAGGAGGAGGTGGCCACCAGTGGGGTGGTGGCGGCGGTGGCCACCATGGTGGAGGAGGAGGTGGCTACCACGGCGGGGGAGGAGGTGGTGGCTACAATGGCGGTGGTGGTTACCACGGAGGCGGCGGTGGACAACCCCAACAGTGGGGCGGCGGCGGCGGCGGAGGCGGATCCGGCTCCTATGCCAGCAGCAGTGCCAACAGCTGGAGCTACGGAGGAGGAGGTGGCAACAATGGAGGTGGCTGCCACTCGTGCGGGAATGGCGGCGGCGGTGGAGGCGGAGGAAGTGGCGCCTATGCCAAGGCCTCGGCCAATGCTTATGCAGGAAGCTGGTAACCTTTTGGAAATCTCATCTAATCTCTGTCTCTTCTTTTTATTTGTGCCTAATTAAGAAAACAAATTGTAAATTGATCACATTAAAACAATAAATGTGAAGAAAATATAATTCTGTGCCTTGATTAAAGTGACAACCTTGGGTTGGGAAAGTGGAACTTGTGATTTCGATTGGCAAAGTTATAATTAATTATTTGAATCGCCATTTATACGGTAAGAATTTGCAGCATTACTTCTCTCATTTGTAAGTTTATTATTTATGTACATTCTTCATTTTGATTAATTATTATTAGCTAGTTGCAAAAATATTCAACTTTATAGATTTCTATTTAATTCTATTTACAAATACTAAGTTTAAAGTTTATAAAAGATGATCTCATCGCGAGCAGTTCTCTCTCTCTCTTTGAATTCTGTTTTTCTAACTATTCTATTTCTTTTTTTATTATTTTTAAGTAAGTAGCTAGATTGTAATTTTACTTATTTTATTTGCAATATTACAAGATATTCCAGTTATCTTCTTTCTCATCTTTAATTCTAACACAAACATGGACATTGTTATGAATTAACGAGAATGTTGCTGTTTGCATTAACAATGCAAAATACACAAACAATATAGCGTAATATTTTTTTTCTCTGCATAAACGTTGAGTTTTAAGCTTTTACAATTAATAGTTATAATTAATGAACAAACTTTCATTTTAAGAATTTTTCAGATAATTTTCTTTAATATAAATCGGAACAAATCGTTAGACTTTGTTTTTTTTATAAGAACGATGGGAAAATAAAAATGTTTTGGGTAATGAAAATAGTATTTTTTACCTTGTTATGTTTTGACATATACTCATATAATCTGAGTTATAGTTATTGTTATAAATTAATTTTTAAAGTTTGATCGAAATCGGATTGGTGTATTGTAAAATTCCATACGCATGGTGAGTTCATAGTTTTTCTTTTATAAATGTTTTACAACTCCCCTCGATGATTATAACTCGTCTCCAATTTTGCTCGAAGCAATAGTAATTCTTCTCTCCAAGAAATGAATATATTCAAACAAAATGAATTTGTAACAGCTTTTGGGTACATTTATTGTGTTGGCCGCAATTGAATACAAAATTCTCAGGCTTCATTTATCAACAGTTCTTTTGGGGGCTTCAGGTAATCAAAATAACAAAAACAAAAGGAAAATACAAAGAGTCTACAGGGACTACGGTCTGGATATGTACAGTATTTACAAAAGTGGATGCAGTCCGGATCCTGTCCTGGATTAGGCCCAACCACCTGCTGGCTGCCAGCCGCCACCGCCGCCTCCACCTCCCGAGGACCAGCCACCACCGCCACCGCCTCCATGGCCACCGCCTCCGCCGCCGCCGCTGCTCAGCTTGATGATCTTGATGACCTTGGTGCCGCCTCCACCGCCACCTCCATGGCCACCGCCTCCTCCACCAGAAGACCAGCCGCCGCCGCCTCCATGTCCACCACCGCCGCCATGTCCGCCGCCGCCTCCTCCGGATCCCAGGCTGATGATCTTGATGAGCTTGACGTCACCGCCGCCGCCTCCACCACCTCCATGGCCACCGCCTCCTCCTCCCGACGACCAGCCTCCACCGCCGCCGCCGCCGCCTCCCGATGACCAGCCACCGCCGCCTCCTCCTCCCGATGACCAACCACCTCCGCCGCCTCCTCCTCCTCCTGAAGCCCAGCCACCACCGCCACCTCCACCACCGCTCTCCGTGATCACCTTGATGATCTGCACGTCTCCACCGCCGCCGCCTCCATGGCCACCACCTCCTCCACCGGACGACCAACCACCGCCGCCACCACCTCCTCCTCCGGAGGACCACCCACCGCCACCTCCTGGCTTGGGCTTGGCCGAAACACTGGCCACTCCGATGAGAAGGAGACACACAAAGGCCTGAAAGGGAAAGGGGATTCGTTGAGATAAAGTGATAACAAAAACAAAAGGTCCTATTTAAGGACCTCGTGGGAAAATCCCTTAATTCGAAAATCATTTAAAATCTCAGAGTAGATGGAAATGTGTTGAAAGACCAAAGAGCCAATAATTTTTATTTTCAAAAACTGTTCCCCAATAGAGTATGGTGCTCCGATCAATCCCATTTATATAGGAGGAAGATCTGTAAAGCTATATTTAGATAGATCTAAAATTGAGAGAATATAGAGAATAGTTTGCAATGAAACGGACAAACGGACATGGCTAGATCGATTCGGCTGTTGCTGATCATGAGACATTTTGTTGCAAACTTCTCACTAAAATCTTAATAATCTTTACAAATTTGGGAATAGAATTAGAAGGACTTATTGTCTAACAGCTTCCATGTTTATCATCCGATTAATTTCAAACTCAAAACAGCTTCGCACAAGTCTTATTATTTGATATAACTTTATGACAAAATTCACCAATATAGTTTATGGTTTTTAATATTTTTTTTTTGTGACAGGATTCCGAACTCTGCTTAGTGATTATTATTATATTCTTGACGTACTTTCATTGCGAGGAACGCTCCGTTTGGGTTAACTCGTTGTCTATGGCGCTTTACGGAACGCGGCGAATCCACAACTGACATGATCACCAATGGCAGTCGCCGTTTTTATACGAAATGAAGGAGCAACATAACACCACCACACCGCACATATTAACCGGAAAAGTGCAGCTGGCAAGAGAAAAAGCCAACGGCAGCATGAGGAAAAACCATTTTCCACGCTCACCGCCGCAGATGTTGGAGATGCTGCACTGGCCCGAAAACATATAATTTCTTACATTCAATATATGCATATATATAAGACCTCGGAAAATATGGAAAGCACATGGCTCTTTTCTCTGAAAAAATCTCTGCGAAAAAGTAACCTAAGCTATTGTGATTTTCGGTCAATCATATTTTATATTGGTTAAAACATTTTGAAAAAGCCTATTTTGATGTGACCAGTTTAAGATGTGTTAAGACCAGTGTGCCCTTTCATATCATGCAAACTCGTCAAAATTACAATTAAAGATTAAAATTAATCAAATTGATCCTTATTTGATCAATTGTGATATGTATATATTCGGTTTTAATCAAACGCTTTTTTAATTCGAATAAAATATAAATATATATGTATCATATTTAAAATTTCTAATATAAAATATGTAAATTAAGTAAACTCGATTTATGAAAACCGATATAATAATATAAATACTATATTTATAAATATAAATACTATATTTATAATATGAATACTATATTTAAACCTTTACGATAGCTAAAGAAGACTATCTGCAAATATTTACTGGATACCTTAAAAACTGAGAGATTAGGTTAAGATGAACAGACCGTCATGTCTAGATCAAGACGCCTGTTGATGCTGGTCAAGAAGATATATACTTTATAGAGTCGCAAATACCTTCTACACTTTGTTTCAAATTTCTAGACAAAGAGTATATCAAAATAAAAAAAATTAAATAGATATTGGGAAGTATATTTATTAGAGCAAATTTAAGATTTTAAAATTAAGATAAAAGTAAGATTATATTCTCTGAACATACTGATCATTTTCTTCCAGTGCAGCGGCAGGGCAAGCAGGGTGAGGACGTGCCACCCAACAGACGCTCCGCAATGTGGGGCAAATGCTGCTGCATCATCTGTGCCATTAGTAAGGGGGAGCAATCAGGGAATGGGCATGAGTCTGGTTTTGGATTTGAGCTTCCACTTGGGCTTGGGGTATGGGGTATGGGGTATGGGGGGAATGGCAGCAGGGGAAAGCAGCAGGCAAGTCATAACTACAAATCCGTTCGATTGTCGCATCTGCAACAGTTTGTGCTTGTTGTTGGCCAAAAGAGATTTGTTTGCACAGGCATTGGCGCAGGCGCATCCCCCAGACTGCAGACTGGTCGCCGCTGCACCTTTTTCCCATTGCATAATCCCGTCACGATCCGCAACAGCAGCAGCCGCAGCAGCATCAGGCCAACTTGCAACTTGTAATGCTATAAAAATTGATGCCATTATTTGATTTGCATTTCGGAGGGGAGTCATCCCCAGTCCCAGTCCAGTCTGTCCGCCTGTAATCGATGAAAACGATGACAAAGCCTGGCAGGTTTCGGCTCCATTCCACCACATGCTGATCCATCACTATCATGGGCGTGACGCCAGTCGAAAATGTGTTCCAAAAAGTATGGTAGGAAAAAAGAGCTTACCAATTGGCCAAGGCTTAATTCGTCACAGACCGATTGAGGATCAGGCAAGGGATATTACCATTCGGTATTTCCCAATCAAGTCGCCTCTGGGGGAGGCAGCAACGATATAGCCCATAAAAATATAGTAACAATAAATTACAATCAGAAAAGCTTATAAAGTTTATACTGGAATATTATCCAGGAGGTGGTACTTTTGTTTTTAATTAAAGGAAATGGAACTCTTTAATGTCTTCAGGTAATACCTCCAAGAGCCAAATTTGATATATTTAAGATTAATCTGATTTCAATGTGATATTGATATAATTATAAACAAAAACAGAAGAGGATTAACCCTTTCGATAAGTAAAATAAAATCAGAAACTACTTTAGTATGTGCAGTAATTAATTTAAAGTAAGCCTTGAATATTTTAATAAAGCTGGTATTAAAAATGAAACCTAAGAAGATATATAATAAATTATTCAATATTAAAGGAATTAAAGCAAATACGTTTTTATGGCATTATTTCTCATTTTGCTTGACATTTGTGATCTTCATATCATCTTTATTAACAAAACAAAGCAAACAACTATTTTTTCTATGGAGTTTGTTCTAAGGTTCTTTAGTGTTTAGGTACACTTTTTCACAAATATTTTATTTTATTATGCTAAAAATATTATAAGTATGTGTTCATTACATCAACGTCTTATGTGGTAACTCCAATCAAGCTCGCAATATGCTTTCTTTAGGTCATCGTCATCATCACCACTGCCAATCCAAACTAAGAAACTCTTAAGCTCTTAAATATAAACAGCATTTGCATATGCGGCTTCCCTGGGCGTCCTCCACTATTTTTGCCCTGGGAAATCGCTGCCTTGGAGGCGGTTTTCGCGCCATTTTCGAGGGCGTGGCCGTACTTCACTAATTGCATATGCGATCACTACTCGTCGGCGGCTACCAGTCGAAAGTGCAATTTAAGCTGTCCCTGATGCCATCATAAATCCCGCACCAACATCTCTTACACAATCCCTAACCATATGAAGACGGGAAGGGGCCAGTCGGCTTTGGTACAAACAAAGTAAACGAAACTGGCGTCAATTGCAAACGACCCACAGGAAAAAAAAAAAGAAAAAACTTCCAAGGCAGGTATTGGGAGGTAGGGGCTGTGGAAAGCACCCAGTTCCCACTTTCCACTTGTCAGCTGAAGATGCAACACGCATCGGTGTCTCTATGTCTCCAAGCCACGCTCAGGCAGCAGTTTAAGATGCGATCTACGAGGAGGAGACACGGCACGGGGCCACAGTCAATGACAAGGCGGGAAGCGGGAACTCTCTCACCATGGGCTGGATAACAAGATAAAGTTGGTAATATATATTTTATAATAAATGATCAAATAATTTTAAAGCCTGCTTTCACAATTCTCAGTTATTAAGAACTCGCCGACTCGGAAAAATGCAGTGGTGTCTCTGGATTATAAAAATAAATTAAAGACCTTTGTTTAATTTTAAATATAAAGAAAACTCAAAATATCATATAAATACCTTTTTTTTTGGGAATTTCCACTGTGCCAGTGTCTGAGACTGACTATAATGGGTAACACAGACAACTGGCAACATGCAACGAGGAAGCGCCACAGCCTCGACCTATGCCACATGCACCAATGCATCATGCATTTTCAGCTGCTCCAGACTCAGACCCAGAGCTTCCCCCTTGGCGGCATTTGTAGTGTAGTGGAGCAGCGGGTCAACGTTCCAATGCGATGGCTTTCATTTAAATTACTAAACAGCGAGGTGATGGAAAAACCAGTTTTCCAAACTTATGATAACTTCCACAGTGCGCGTTGCCCGCCAGCAGCTCTTCGCCATTGTTTCTCGGAGAGGAGAGGCAACCTTCCAGCAATTTCCGGATTCGTTGCATCACCCTGGGTTTCCTGTTTCGATGGGTTGCCAGTTTAAGAGCCGCATCCTATCGTACATCTCTCAGTCCTTTCTCCACTAAATCACTCCTTCAAACATGCACTTTTAGGGTCTTTTTATTTGATAGAGTTAAAGATTATAGGGTTCGAACGATTAGCGTCAATATTTAGGTAATTATTTAATATAATTGTTTCATCTAGAATCTCAGAGCTCTTGTTTTTGATAGTTTCTGAAAACTCTTAAATATATAAGGAGAACAGATATAACAGAAAAGGAAGAATAACAATTAAATTAAAATAATTTTAATTGAAAGAAGAAAGGAAGCTAACTTCGGGAAGCCGAAGTCGAAATGAAAATTAAGTCAACATATACATAATTAGGTTTTACGATTAAAAAAAGTTTAAAATTTTATCAATATTAAATAAAATATACTACTGCCACAGTCTTTATCGGCTAATTTATATGAGAACCTAAGAAGTTTAAAACAAGTTCGTTGATTTTAAGTGTAAATGTTGCTTCTCATTTGAAACACTTTTAAATCATTAGAACTGAAGACTATACATCTGGTGTCGAATGCGACATTCGTAAGCATTCAAACTAAAAAAAAACATGTGCCAAGACATTATTTTATTTTTATAAAACTACAATTGGTGCTAAGATCGATTTTGGGCCCTTGTTCGTTTTCAAAATATTCACTAAAATGTGTGGCATTCGCACGCGACAAAAACAGAAGTTACATTTGCAAAAAACCAGTTTAACCTCTGATTTTTTATTTATTTATTTATAAAAGAAAATAGCAATGACTGCCATTCTCAAATTATATTGTACCCTTACCTCTGCATAACAAAAGGGAGTGTTTTTTAACGATGTGCTCCGACTCACATCAGGTTGGCAGAGGTAAGGATAGGTAATTTAACAGATTTTGAACGTTGAACTCGTAGAACAATTCAACATGTAACAGAAAATAATACTTATTGTACATGGAACACAGAACACGGAAAGGATCATGCTCGTCATTGTTCGTCTTACAGACGTTAAGGGCTATTGGACCTTACAGAGTTAATTTGTTTTTTGGAGGCCTGGTTGAGGGAGTCAGAGGCACTTCAGCTCGAGGGTTGCTCTTGTAAAGAAATTCATGAACAATGCATGCTGCACGGGCCATACGGAAGCATCAAGAACCTTGCTATATAACGCGTCAGAAAGTGCAATTTTAAATGAAGAAATATCTCGTTTCTGCTTAAAATTGAATTTTGAGACAGAGAATTCAGTTAAAAAAACATTCAATTCGTTGCTCAAGTGAATAGCGACGTCTTTCGCGGATGCATCAGGATTAAGGCGGGAGACAAAAACTAGCCTTTTTGGGGCAACGCCAACAAGAGGCGCCGGACTCCTTGGGGCAACACCAGAGATAGTTGAAAGGTGTGGTATGGGACTAGGAGGCGGAGGAGATGCGATGGTGACCGCCGGGCCGATCGCAGAGTGAGCATCCTTAATTTGGTTTGAGGCCAGCAGGGCTTTGCTTGCTGCAGCAGCATGCGGCGTAGATGCCAGATCCACGTTGACTGGCTGCAAGGTCGGAGAGGTGCCGATATCAGCTAGTCCAGGGCAAGGGGAAGCATTCACTACTTGACCCGACGCAGCTGAGTCATCGGCGACACCCGTAGTATGACCATTGGGGGGGTTGCGTGGGCTAAACAGCAAAAGGGGGCTCGCAGGGTCTGCAACAGGCAAAAAATTATTAGGAAGAGGTCCCGTATTGCTATTTGGTGTGAAACTTATCAGTTTCATTGATTTAAAATTCCGTTTTCTGGAAACGGCTTGCCAAATCCTTGAACCCAGCCGCCAAAGATTGAAAGTCCAAATGGGTTTGTCTCATAAAAATCCGCATTTCAGATTTAATATAAAGGCAGCTCGGGCACGTCCAATCCAAGCCAGCGTGATCCCGTATGCGGTCGGCGATGCGCGGGCCAACATGCCCAAGATCGGCACAGCCAGGGTGTGCGGCATTAGTGCAAAGCCAACAATAAACAGTGGCTTGCCGCGAAGTAATTTTGCGGCCATGTGGACAATCCGTGACACTACAAGTTGACATTATGTTGAAATAATAATAAATCGTAAGAAGCACTCGCAAGTAATAGAAAGGCAATTAACTTGAGTGGCGAAGGAACCGATCAAAACAAAAATAGAGCGAGAGAAAAATATAAGCTTTTATCTCAGCTCAAGAAAGTATGAGATTGTGTGGTTGTTCGCGGCTTGCAGATCACTTGCAGCAACAACAACACTGAGAGCGGCGCAGCAGAAAGCGAAAGAATATGTTTTGCCGATTAAGTTTTCGGAAATTAAAGTCACTGTCTTTATATGAGATGATCCAGATGCTGTGGGTAAATAAAGATCGCCAAAACACTGATCACTTGCCAAAAATTTGGTCTTTTTAGAATAAATATTCACGGTGAAAACTTTAAGCGAAGGTAGAGCGAAGGAAAACACGTCCGACTCGTAGGCAAAAGCTTGAATTTCAGCGAAGCATGATAAAAAATTATAATGAAATAAATTTTAATTAATTATGCAATCAATTATCTTACTAACGTATTTTGTTTGATTTTAAAATATTAAACAGTTATTTTTTAAATTAAATTTTAGTCCCGGTCGCACGCGACAGTTTGGAAAGCGACTATTCAAACTAAAACTGTGAGAATATTGGTGATCGCATATGTCCTTTTCCACTTTATATTGACTCTTTGGGTTTTCTATGTGATATTACATACATACATATGTGATAAGTGTTATTCCTGCCGTATAAAAACATAAATTTATATTTACGTACTTACTTGCTTTCATCGCTATTGAAATAGAATCCCATGATTTCTCGGTTACTATTCTATTCGAATAGTTCTTTTTTTCCCCACACCGGTGGGTTTTCAATAATCTCATTTATTAACGTTTCGCAGTCCATTTCTAAAACGCAATTAACAATCAATTAATCCATCGAGCAGTGCGGAGCAGAGCTTAAAGGGGATAAGCTCAGTTCAGGGCAAGCGGATAAGCAAGCTGCTAGTTCCACTTTCAGCCGCCTTGTCGCGTTGCCTTGTAAGGAACATTTTTCGGTTGAATAATCTTACACATGGGCACACTAGCGCAATTGAGAGATTTAAAGTTTTTATAGTCCCTAGACTAGAAAATTATCTCGCAATCTATTACGCTTCTCCCAGGCTGAAGTATGAACGAGCTCCAGTAGATTTTATCATGTGTGGCGAAGTAAAATGAGGAATTTATCTTAAATCAATTTGATTTAAAAAACCCGCACGCTAGTGATGGTAGATTTCATGTCAAATATAGTAATGTATAAATACACTGGCACTATCGCTTACAATCGAACTTAATAATCGGAAGTGACATGCATATCGATACATCGATAAGTGGGTTGTAGATGGTCAGGTCAGCTCTAGCGCTGTATTCTGTTTCTCGGTTACCGTTACCTCCGCTTGTGCCGCGTCCCCCATCAGTGTGCGTAAGTGCGGCCGTTGTGTGCTTGTGTGCTTAAGTCGCGTGTCGTCGCCGCTTCCATGTAAACGAAAATTGTGCAAAAGGTAACAGCAACAAAAGAAACAACACAGCGAAACGGTGGCAAAACGAGCGAAAAAGTTATATCGAAAATAACAAGTACAACGGGCAAACAAAACTTGTGAAATACTTCTTCTGGCCTGGTGGCAAGTGGCAGATACAATAAAAAAATAATTCTCAACAAAAAAACAGGTTTACTAGGGCCCCAAACAGAAGAAGAGGGAGAGCGATTGAGAATTTTGTTGGCAGAGCGAGGGGCACGAGCGAGAGAGAGAGAAGGTGCAAACAAATACTGCAAATGCGAATTTAGATTCTTGGCTAGTGCCGCACAGTGGTCACTTAAAAGCTTGCCCCGCTGTGCTGCCGCCGAGAACTTGTTTGCTCCTCCGCTTCTTATTCCCATTCTGCCTTCTACTGTCTTCGTTGGTACCCTTTTCATTGGCTGGATTAGAATGCATAATATTTGTCATAATCTTACATGCAGTTCCACGAAATCAATAGGAAAAGCGTTTCCCCGAAAGTGCCGTTACTTTCGGGAAATTCCAGCCCCTTCCCCTCGCCAGAATCTCCCGAAAAACAGCCAACAATCAGCTGGCTTTGCAGTCGACGCCGATCTGCCGGCGTCGGCAGAGTGGGCGACTGCGAGTGGCAGCACCGGGCGCCTAGCAACAGCGGTTAACCTCAGAGTTCAGGAGCGGATCCGGGTGGCAAATTATCCAAAGACGGAGAAATTGAGGGGATTTATTTAAATTAAAAGCATAACTGATGCAGACTTTTATTAGTAGTTCCCACTTGCAACCACTTCAGGGCAAGAAATAGAACTAGATTTTTTTTGTGCCTGGATGTTCCTCAGAGGGGGCCCCGTCGTAATCTAGCTGGATCCGTCCCAGTGGCCCGCTGCCGTCAGCTGTGCGGGCAGTGCGCAGGCGCCACACACGCACACTAGCGCAGCTCTGCACGGCACACTCACACTCACACTGACACTCGCAGGAGCCACAGGCAGCAGCAGCAGCAGCAGCAGGCTGGTCGCTGGTTAACTGCCTGACTTTGGCCCGTAAAATTGCATTGCTGGCGTCCCGCTTGCACGCACTTACTTGGCCAGTAATGCCGGAAAATGGGGAAAACGGGAAAATTTGGTCGGTTCACAGTTGGCAGTCGGCTTCGGCTTTGGCTTTACATAAGCTGTCGTCAGCGGCAGGCGGCGATTCGGTGCGCTCCTGAAGCTCAGTTCCCGGCTGCAGGTCCTGCGCTCAGGTTGTGTGGGCGCGCTTTCCGTTTTCCAGGGATCAGCTGCTGGCTGACTTTGCAACTGGTTTGACGTTGGTTTTGCATTGGATTTTCATTTTTCGCCGATTTACCTACTATTCTGTTACTTTTATTATTTTATATACATATATTTTTTTGTGTTCTTTTGTGGCGGTGGAAACCGGCTGGCCAAAAGGTTCGTCGACAGTGTCAGCAGTCTGTTTTTTCAGCTGTTCGGCTGCTGGCGAAAAAAAGTGGTTAGACATCTTTTTTATTACACTTTAATTTGTCTTTTTCGCTATTATTTATCTCATTTCTCAACTATTGCTATGTGCTGCCTGCGTGGGCCACTTTCAAAAGCTTTTTCGGGGCTTCCGTTGTTTTTTATTTTTTGGCTTTATTTATTTATTTCGTTTTTGTTCGTCGTCCAATCATAAGGCCAAAACTTGATTTGCGCGCACGGCCAGCAGTAAATCAATTTAACAATATCAATTCGCTCGTAAAACCGTTTGAGAAAACACGTTGTATAAAACAAAACATAAATTTATCCACGTTCAAACCATATGCAGCTGAAGTGTTAATCGAAAAGCTACAATAAAGCCAAAGAGAAACAGAAGCGGACTAATAAAAACAACAACAACAACATGTGAGGCTGCTGAGGAGATGTTAGCTCTGCCACTTGAAAAGATGGCCGTCAGGATGTGCAGCATCGCTCCCATCGCCATCATCTAGCTGCATCAGCAGCAGCAGCAGCAGCAGCAGCAGCAGCAGTAAGCTTTCCTCACTCACAGATACACACGCACACCCATGCCGCTGGCAGCCAGACACTTGCACACAGATACAAATGCCAGCAGCTCTTAAAGGTGAGTCCGTACTTAAAGTTTTACATTTTAAATACTCTGCAGTCGTAAAATTGGGTGAACCGAAAGTCCCTCGGATTTTCGGGACACCAAAGACAGACGAACTGAGTGCGAGAAATTTGCAATATTAATGATTTTGATGTGAAAAGCTTTCGAGGTCTTAAAATCCAATTATAGACATTAAAAGTGATATTGAATCAATTAGTAAATAAACTACAAATAGGCAGGGGAAATATTCGATTATAGGAATTAGATAAAAGTGAATTAATAGTTTTTAACAATTTTCGGTTTGTCTAAAATGTAGTTTATTATGTTTTAAGTTAATTTAATTGTTTAATATACAAAATCCATGCCTCGTTTTGATTACAACTATTATGATTGATAAGAAAAAAAGTTTTTTAATTAGTTTTATAATTATGTAAGTTAACTTTTGGAGATTATAATAAGTCCTTAAAACTTCTTACCCATTACATCTTATTTGGTTTGGTGTGAGAACCTTTCTAAAATGATTAATTCAAATTTTTAAGTAAAATTTTTATTTTAAATTTTATTAGCTTTTAATTTTTGTAGAACGGAACAAAACTGATTTTCTTCTCCCAAATAAACCCAATATTCTCAAAGTTTTTACTTTTATTTAAAAGTAAAAAAAATAATATTTCATAATGTTATCTATGGGCATCTTTTATTCTGTTTAAGAGTGTTCCTAAGGATCTTTGCATAATGTTGCATAAATATTTGTTAAAGCTGATTTCGAACGTACTATAAGTAATTTTAATGATTCTAGCATAGTGTTTTAGAATTTTCCACGTCCCTTCATTTATTTTCTACTCAAATATCTATGAAAATAAATGTATTTACTATAAATATTTATTTATTCTCCATCACAGCGAATACGATCCATTTGTGTCTCAATTATTGTGCTCCTTTTAAGATAATCCTCAATAAATATGTGTATTTTGAAACCTTTGCCTATGAAGCCCCTGAAATGTCCAATCAAGTCGAGAATCACATGATGAATGACCTCAGTATTGCCATCAATCTTACACAATTGCCTCCCTTCGCTCGCCATCGCATCTGTTTTTTTCCCCCCAAAAACTTCTTTGATATTTGGCGACTCTCCTTGTCATTGGTATGTTTATTTTTTGGGCTTGCGTGCGTAGAGCATCTCAAAGTTGAACATTTCTTTTCACATTTACCGTGAATTTTTATGACCGCTTCGAGTCGGAATTGGAATCGGACTCCAACTCCGACTCCGACTCGAACCCGGGACGAAGCTGGGATTTTGGCCAGAGGAGAGTTCAACCAGAGTATAAGGCTGCCGTGTTGGTCGCGAGCCCATTGAAAAAAGCCCGTCAAACCAGTCGCAGTTTTTATTTTTGTTTTGTTTTTGCCGATTCCTAGGCCTGGGCAAACTGGCCCCCGTTGATGATGACTTTTTACATGGCCGTTGGCCCGAAGAGATACCGACTCAGATACGGGAGACAAGAGAGGAGCTAGCCAGTGAGCCAGTCAGCCAGTCAGCCATCTCCACTAACAGACAAAACACACGTATCTAAACTTGTTTGAAACGTGTTACATTTTAAGAACGTTCGCCGCCAGCGGCGGCAAGTGGCAATAATCCTTTCCAACTTGACAGGGCTGCCTGCCATGTCCAAAAAACAAAAAAAAACCCAAAGGGCCGGCCCAGTGGGAGTGGAAAAGCCGCCAGTTTTTCCCCCTTTTTAATGCACAGTCGCGTAGTCACAGAGAATCAGGCTATATTTAGTCGTGCCAGTGTGTGGAACACTTTTCCGAATATAGAACAAAGATATCATTTTGACCAGCAGGCAATAGCCATGAAAATGTTGAAATCTCCGAGTCTCTGGAAAGAGACTAGAGAGAGAGCACTCGTTTTTATTTCAGTACACTTTTGCTTACCACATAAATTAGCCATCTTCTTTAGTCCAAAAGCAAAGAGAATTGTTTTCAATCTAATATTCCTTTTCTTATAATGCGATTTATATTTGTTGGAAATACTTTAAATAGTTGCAATTTCTATAAATTCTATTATATTGCTGCTCGTGTTTTATTATCATTGTTTTACCATTGTGCATAAGTAAATAATGTATAAGGTGACTGTATGTCTAAATTTTCCTAGGGTTCTTTTTTTACTGTCGGCATTTTTCTCTCTGGAAACAGTTGCAAGGACTCGTTATACCCATATTCCATCTCACACACAGAAAATAATCATAAAGAACGACAAAAAAAAAAGTGAAATTGATATATTTTTCGCAGAAATGGCCGTTAACACGGATTGGTGAGGAGGTGTTGTGATGCCTAGGCAACGAGAAATTTGACTGGTGAAATTTGGATGGAAATGTGCTGAAAAAAATGAAATGTTGGACAAAATAAAAAGAAAAACGGTTAGGTGTAAACGGGAAATTGTTTACCGTGGTTCCAAAATGATGTAATTTCGCGTGTTCGTGCAATTCAATTTCCTGCCAGCGGAAGCCCGTGTCGCTCTGTTCCCCATTTGAAGTCAAACATTCATTCCCGGTCCATTGCGAACACCCCGAACGTCCTATTTTACAGTCAACAGCAGTAGCAGCAGGCAACTTTGAAAAGTTTTAAATATTGTTAAAATAGTCCTCTTTTCAAGTGTTTACTTCGCATTTTATTCAATATTAAGCGCTGCTTAATTTATTAACTGTGAAAGAAGATTACATAGTTTCTTATTTGCAAATATCATATATTTGATAAATCGCATAAATAACAACCATCCAACAGACGGAAGGACATTGCCAATATTAACAACAATTCCTTTGTGCTCTTGGGCATTTGGCCAAAAAATTTGAAAGACCGGCTTGTCCTGGCAGCAGGCGACAAACGTTTTGTGGCCAGTTTCCCGTCTCCCGTTTCCCAAGACTGTTTGTCTGACCCATTGTCGAGTCGAGTCAAGTCAAGTCAAGTCGGATAAGGACCCTGCTTCAGGCGTCATCGTTTAATATCTACATCTATAGGATATCCGAAGAACTACCTAGCTGTAGCAATACACTTTGCTCAGATTAATCAATGAAAAATGTTTAATTGAACTGAACTGAATAATATGGTTGAATTTATTTTTATTAATTAATAATATTTATTAATTTAAGTTTAGATACAATGATATTTTGCTGATCATCATAATTATTAATAAGGAACCATTTCAAATAGCTAAGCTGTCCGGTTGGTTTCAGCTTTTCTGCAAAATTATTTTCTATAAGTCTGTCTGAGTTTGTTAAAGAAAATATTAATTTGTTTGGAAGCTTTCTATGGGGTGACCCACTATTGTGCGATTTTGTAAGAAACTGCCGAAGGTTAAAAAAATATGGTGATGCAAAATTTGAAATGAGGTCTTGTTCTTTCTGGTACGAAATCTGTGAGGGAATGTATGATAATAAATGGAGGATCTATATATATTTTTAAGGGATATTTAAGGTATCTGGGGTTTCCAAATAAGCCCAAATTGAAAAACAAAAACATTAGTTAACTGATTTCTGAGCAACTTGAGGCTTGATACATATACATACATATTCCACGAACCATTTGCTTTTCTTTGTGTATTGCTCAACATATGCTTAGTAACTTTTGTTTCATTTAGGCAAAACCATGTTAATTGTTTGGGTAGAGGTTGTGTAGCTTCCATCTTACATTACAATATCGTTATTATATCATATAGAACAATTAATAAAATCGAACAAAGTTATAATTTTGGAGACTCTTGGAGCTCAAAGAAGCTGGGTTCACAAACTTTTTTTTTTAATTTGAAGGCTGGAATCGTTTGCCCACCCTTTGAAAATTTTCATAATTTTTCGAAAAACCAAAAGTTTACTTTTTTTCAAAATTTTTTTTTGGAAATTGCAATAACATCTTTTGCCCACGTTTGCCCACCCTTTAGAATTTTGAAAAAACTTTGAGTTTAGAAAATTTTCAAAATTGTATTGGGAAATTTTGAATTTTGAAAATTTTAAAATTGGAATCGTTTGCCCATTTGTTGCTCATGTTTGCCCACCCTTTACTTTTTTTTGCCCACGTCCAGTTTTGAAAATATTCAACTTAGAAGATTTTTCAAAATTATACAGTTTGCCCACCCTTTAAAACAAAATATTTTTAACAATAAACGTATGCCCACCTCTTAAAACTAAATAAAATCCTTTGCCCACCCTTTAAAATTAAAAAATATCGTTTGCCCTCCCCCTAAATTTAAATATTTTTAACAAAAACTATTGCCCATGTCTTAAAACTAAATAATATCGTTTGCCCACCCTCTACAACTAAATATTTTTAACATAAAACGTTTGCCCACCCCTTAAAACTAAATAAAATCGTTTGCCCACCCTTTAAAATTAAAACATTTCGTTTGCCCACCTCTTAATTTTTAATATTTCTACTAAAAAACGTTTGCCCATGTCTTAACACTAAATATTATCATTTGCCCACCCCTTAATTTTAATTATTTGTATTAAAAAACGTTTGCCCGCCTTTGAAAATTAAATAATATTGTTTAATCCCAAATATTGGTGGCAGAAGTACTTGTTAAGAAAAGAAAAACAAATATTACAAATTTATTATAATATCTGGTTTGGAAATCGTTCAAATTGCTGCGTGATAATAATTCTGCTAAACATTGTTCAATTCAATTTTTCCGTTTTTTAATTTTGCACAAAACATACCAGCTATGGCCGCATAACATCTTACGACAGGTGCCAGGACAAAAAAGCACTACTGCATGTGGCAGACATAGTGGCGGCCATACGATATAAGTCATTGTTGCAGAATTGTGATCCGGGAACATTAAGATTTCTACCGTCTATCTGACGCCAAAATTTGAGTGGAATAGTTCTTATAAAGTTTCAGGCATCAATGATCGCAACCGAGAATCGTCTGGGGAGACTTTTTGTGGCGCCTTTACGTCTATTATTTAGTAGTATTTACATATATAGATCCCTGTATTCTAGTGTGCAGATATACCCATCTATATACATGGCGCCAGCAAGTCCTTGCCTCAGGTAGTCCCACATTTTGCATGCTCTGGCATATTCTGTCTGCAGGCAGAGGCGATCATTGATTCGTGAAACTTTGTAAGAACAATTGCACTGAAATTTTGGCACATGTCGTAAGATGTTATTTGGCCATAGCTGGTATGTTTTGTGCAAAATTAAAAAACGGAGAAATTGAATTGAACAATGTTTAGTAGAATTTTTATCACGCAGCAATTTGAACCATTTCCAAACCAGATTTAATAATAATTTTGTAATATTTGCTTTTTTTTCATAACAAGTACTTCTACCACCGCACTATGGGGCATTTGACTCGTTTCGTTGGCTTTAATTGATTTTTTACAAGTATTAAAAATAACGATATTTTAATGCAAACACATTTTAAATACATCAAAATGTTATGTTACATACCAGAAATGTTAACTCAAAATGGCACTGTTAAAGTAGCAGCTGTTAAAGTCAGCTGTTGTAAACAAGAACCACGCGGCTTGTTTAAGCTTAATTTTGAAGTGCATTTTCGAATTGTTATAAAACGAGAAAAAAAAAGAAATAACTAAAATTTGAAATGAATAATATAAATACAGGTTTGTTTTATGTGTTTTTACTAATTCGTTGTTTTATTTGTGCGTGTCTTTCTAACAATTTGTATATTTAACATGTAGTGTCAACAGCTGACTTTTGGAAAAAAAGTTCAACTTTGATAAGATTTTTAATCAACTGTTGAAGTTTGTTGAGTAAGTGTCTATATCCATGTCGTAGATTTATCATTTCCTAATTCAGAGCATCCAATCTTAATTTCCACTTTTCTCTACCCTTTACGTAATTTCATTTTTAAGGAAGCAACCTCTTATTTAAAAATGTTGACTTGTTCGAAGTGTGGCGAAAGGAAAGGTGCCGCCGTGACAAAAATGATGCCGTTTTTAATTTTATATGTCGCCATGTTGATTCGAGTACTCTGGCTTTAAATAAAAGCTATTTTAAAGAAAAATCAAGAATGTTTTGCACAAACTTGTTTGTCATGTGGCAAAAATGTAAGGCAAACATTAAATATTTTTCAACTCGAAATTCAAAATGGCTTCAAGACAATTTAAGCATCTCTTTAAATAAAGAAGATGGTAACAGAAAACTAAATAGACCCGGACGTCCAAAAATATCATTTAACTTTAAAGGGAAAAGAGCGCAGAGAAAGCAAGCAGCTGATCTTTCCAAGGCGTATAAACACAATGCACGTTTGCTAGTTCAAGCTGCCAGTATAGCTGCCCGTAAGCGCGGGCTCCTCGATATTGCTGCCGTTCTAAAGTTGCTAGCGCTCAACCCTGCTAAAGCCAAGAGCATCAGGAAGCTATTGAAGACACCGATTACGAAACCTTTGCGTTCTTCCCCAGAAGAAGCCCTGGCTTTGATTTTGGACCAAGGCTTAACTAAAAATCAGTATTGCGCATTGCGAGAGGACGCTAAGTGCAGAAGGGCGGATATCTATCCAAGATATAAAGAAGTGGCGGAGAAAAAAAAGGATTGCCGGCCACCAAATATTGAAGTTAGTGACACAGTAGCTAAAACTTCACTTCAGGACCTATTAAATCACACAGCTATTCGGATTGTGGCCTTACAGGAAGCAAGCATTGCAATGGCAATGAAAAATCAACAAACTGACTTCTTATCAGCCGAATTAATATTAAGTTATGGCTTTGACGGAAGTACGGGACAGGCCAATTATAACCAGGCATACACTGATAATCACTCACATGATACAGATTCAAGTCTATTTGCTACAACAGTTATGCCTTTACGCCTTATTGATAGCTCGGCAAACATTTTATGGAACAATCGCACTCCTCAGAGTATACGATTCTGTCGTCCATTAAAACTGGAATTCCTTAAGGAAACAAAGGAAGTTATTATAAGAGAAAGCATGAATATAAGAAAAGAAATTGACAACTTGATGTCTTGCAAAGTACTACTCAACGAGAGGCAATGCATATATGTTAAATTTAGTCTTTACTTAACCGTTATCGATGGCAAAGTGCTTAATGCTTTAACAGGAGCAAAATCATTTCAAGCTTGTCCTATTTGCAGTGCGACACCCAAAGATTTTCTGGGTAACAAGAACTTTAAGTGCCTCAAATTTCTTCCTATTTTAGATAACTTAAAACATGGAGTCAGCCCACTACATTGCTGGATCAGATTTTTTGAATTTTTGCTGCATGCCGGATATAAAACAGGTATACAAAAGTGGAGAATTTCAAACCCGGTCGAAAAAAGTCTTGTCTCCGAGAGAAAAAAAAGTATTCAACGTATGTTTTGGGAAAAACTTTCATTAAAAGTTGACCAGCCAAAACAATCAGGATTTGGGAACACAAACGTGGGAAATACCGCCCGACGAGCATTCAATAGCTATAAAATATTTTCTGAAATAATTGGCATTGATGAAGAGCTCATATTTAACATGAGGACAATATTAATATGCCTGTCATGTCAACTGCCCATAAACCTGGAAAAATATGAAAAATTGTGTCAAAAGACGGGAGAATTAATTATAGACAAATATCCTTGGCTTGCAATGACAGCGACAGTTCATAAAATTTTGGTGCACTCAACAGAAATACTGCAAAATACAGTACTTCCAGTCGGTTATTTTGGTGAAGAGGCGGCTGAATCGCGAAATAAAATTTATAAATCAGACAGACTACACCATGCAAGGAAGAATAGCCGGTTATGCAACTTCACTGACGTGTTCCATAGAGCATTGGATATGTCAGACCCCATAATTTCGTCAGTAAACTTAAAGAGGCGCATACGAAAACATAGGCGCATTTCTCTTCCAACTGAAGTCATAGAACTGCTATCCTGCGAATTTGACGAATTGGATGAATCTTTGGATGATTGCATTGATGAATTAGATGAAACTTTGATTGATTGTTATGTAGACGAAGAAATCAATGATTTTTTGTTCAATATAGAACTTGATAATGAGGAAAATATTGAGTAATATATACATATATATACATATTTATACGTTATTATTAAAATATAAAAAATATCTATATTTGGTATAAAAAATTGTACTTTATGCTCAAAAAAAAAAAATGGTGGCGGGGGGTAGTGACACGCCTACTTTTCAAAATATTTCTAAGAGTGTTTTAATACTAGAAAAAAAACCCCAGCAAAATATGTTTTCATTTTAAGGAGTTATTAATTAAAGCCAACAAAACGATAGCATACAAATTTGGTACACCCTAGACGGGGCGGTGCCACGCCTCCATTTTTTTACAGTTAAATCTTATCAATTACACGAACTAAATACCGAAAACCAAATCAAAAAATCTCTTTTCGTTCTCAAGTTATTAATTAATGCCAACGAAACGAGTCAAATGCCCCATAGTGCACCGATATTAGGGATTAAACAATATTATTTAATTTTCAAAGGTGGGCAAATGTTTTTTAATACAAATATTTAAAATTAAGGGGTGGGCAAACGATAATATTTAGTTTTAAGACATGGGCAAACGTTTTTTAGTAGAAATATTAAAAATTAAGAGGTGGGCAAACGAAATGTTTTAATTTTAATGGGTGGGCAAACGAATTTATTTACTTTTAAGGGGTGGGCAAACGTTTTATGCTAAAAATATTTAGTTTTAGAGAGTGGGCAAACGATATTATTTAATTTTAAAGGGTGGGCAAACGAATTTATTTAATTTTAAGACATAGGCAAACGTGTTTTGTTAAAAATATTAAGTTTAGAGGGTGGGCAAACGATTTTATTTAGTTTTAAGACGTATTTTGTTAAAAATATTTAGTTTAGGCAAACGTTAAAATTTTGAAAATTTTCAAAGTTGAATATTTTAAAAACTGGACGTGGGCAAAAAAAGTAAAGGGTGGGCAAACATGGGCAAACGATTCCAGCTTTCAAATTAAAAAAAAAAAAAATTCCGAACCCAGCTTCTTTTAGCCGATACTTGTAGGATGCTCGCTAAATGATATTTGAGGTGGGAGCTGAATAACCGCGTCAATAATGCACAATGCTGACTACGGGATATTTCACAGTCAAGCACGCTTGTTTATAGATTTCTTATATGCATTTCTTAGCGCTTAACCTTTTTTCTAGGAAACTATCGTAACCCCCGAGCGTAGAATATTAGGAAACCGATAAACACATGAATACTAGGACAAGTTACGTGAATTTTTATTGTAGATGTAATAGTAGCCGCCACTGAACCTCAGAGGGGTTAACTCGTACTGCGGGTTTCCAGTCACCGGGATAGCGGTCACCCGAGCCACTGACGGCTTGAAGTTGAGCGTTCGATAAAAGAACGCTGTCAGGAAGCTGGCACTGACCACGAAAGCCACGAAGAAGCCCAGACAGAAGATGCAGTCCTTGTTCACTTGCAGGCACAGACAGAAGGCGGCGAGGAAATCACCCAAAGAGCGACATATCCGGGCCCAGAACGAATGCCGCTGGACTGCCACACGTGGGGGCATGTTGTTGCCTGCAATGGTGATTGTGTGGTAACTACGTTCGCAGGGGGGTCGACTATCCGGCTGATGCCGGGCTGGATTCGTTTTCCGGGTGGTCAGATCCACACGCAGCCGTCGCGGCGTGATGAGCTCACAGGTCTGGGTGCCCAGTTCGCAATATTGCTGTGGCACTTGCAGAATAACCGCAGAACGGGCTTCTTCCGTTAGCCGTTCCTCAATAGCGTCCAGGTTGTACGAGAAGCGATGAAGTAGATCCAGTATGTTCTGCAATCGCTTGGATTCCGTACTTGTACCATCAGATTTATCAGCCTTGCGAGTTAACTCTGACGATGGGTAAGGATCCTCCGTAGCCGAGGCTCCGTGCAAAGTCTGTGTGTTTGCTGTGCCCTTACGACTGGTGCTGGGCTCACAATCCAGTTCAAAAGAAACGTACTTTGGCTCCACTTTATCGTCTTGGTTGGCCTCCAAATCCATGTTGTTGCATTGCACTGAAGACTCCGTTACAGACTCACCCAAGTTCGCATCCGGCAGATACACAACTTGGGCGTGATCAACGGCAGGTGGAGGACTTATTGTCAGCTGATCCTCTGATTGCGACGGTTCTGGGTCGTCATCTCTCTGGCTTTCATGTTTTTTCTTATCCATTTTATGTGTGCTTGTTAAAATCACAGAGAATTTTAAAATTCCTTTTTCAAATGCGAAAGCTATGTCACTTTCAGACTTGACACTTGTTAAATGTCATAGATTTCTGTACGGGATTCAGAACCTTGTCTAAAAACATTTCCAAATTGAACCGTGATCGATATAAACTTCATGGCGAGCAGGGAGCCACCACAAACTGCGATCGTCATTAATTTGCTGATCGGCGATTTGGTTCAAGATGCCGTAAACGAGCCGCGCAAGCTGTCTAGTCAGAAGGACACCTGCCAGCGGCTCTTCGATATTTTGGGCTTCCAGGCCGACGACTCCTTCGAGAATATAGACGGCAGTGAAGTTCCAAGTACACCAAGTGCTTGTACTCTGCAGGGAACTTCTAGGCAGCGTTCGGTCGATGCCAAGCGAAAAACCTGGCACAGTTGGCTGAATAAGGCATTGGAAGAAGGTAAGATCCGGCCGAGAGGTTCGGATGAAACACACTGAAACACACACTTTGATATACATGTGTTCCCCCGCAGAAAGTTCAGAGGACGAAGTTGAAATCTTCAGGAAGGATAGACCGCCAAAGACCTTTGATTCCACCTCAGTGCAAACGGAGCAACCCCGTTTCCGCAGACGCAGCCTGGTGGATCGCCACCAACTGCCTCCGCTCGCTCCCTGCGAGCAGACGCGCCAAACGATCTTTATTGACGCGGTATCGGTGCCCATACCAAATGTGCTGGGCCGGCCACCGCTGGCCGATCGCGTCTGCTACATGTTGACCGACTTCGCTTCTGCGCTATATTGTAGTCTCGCAATCATGTGTTGTTGCACACCCAATATGTTGAGATAAATACACCCAGCGGCTGTAGCTCTCTGCTTTACTAAACCAATACTTCATATTTTATTTATTTCATCAAGGGTGAAGCGAATCGATTTATACAAAACTACTTGGGATGGATCCGTGCCAAGTCTTTCTTGAAGCCCATCTGCTGGTTAACGTTTGTCGGCAAGGAGCTGTAGTAGTGGCCCATCAGCAAATAGAGACACCACAGGCACAGGAGAACGAACAGCACATAGGAGAAGTTTTCACCGATCATGTAGGTGCAGGCGACGATGGAGTCCAGTGTCTGGGTCAAGACATTCCACATCCTCTGGCGCAGTGGAGCCCTCTGCATGTCTGTGGCGGAGGTGACCGATTCCACTTCGATGTGGATTGTGTGCTGCAAGGTCTTGCTCGGTTTTTCAGCTCCATGTTCAATGTGTGAATTTCTCCCAATGTCAGCCAATTGTGTCTCCAGGTCCTTCATGTCGAATTGCTTCTGATCCACGGCACTCCAATATGTCTGACTGCTGACATCGCAGGTGGGGGCCTGGATACGTCTGTCCCTTAAAGTGCAATCAGATAGATCCGTAAGACTCGATGACTTGCTTGGTTTGCCATTTTTACTGTCTGAAAAGAAGTAACATACGAATGACTCTTTTTGTATTTAGTTTCAAATCCTCGCCAATTAATTTGTCACGTTAAAATTGTAGCTATATACATAGATAAAAACTAGAAAATGTTTTCTATATAGACTTTTGGTATAACACTTTATTAAATAGACGCTGCTAATGCACCCCATTCACACTCTTCGTGATCACTTCTTTAATGATTTTTATCTCTTAATTTTTGTCCCGCTAGCAGCATTGGTTTTTAGGAGAACAATGCTATCCATTTACTTGCAAGCAGATTAAATATCTGTACCATAAATAAATATATAGCTTCTCCAAAAATAGTTATTTTCGAATCATCCTTGGAAAGCTCTTTGAGTACTTCCCAAAAGTATAATTACTGTGCACACCGAAGACATTTACCAGTTTTAACACAATCCTGTAAGATTTTTTCCCATCTTTACTAGTACTAGTACTAGTTTCTTAAGATGTATAAATCTATATCCATTCGCAAATTCAAACCCCCTTTCCATTCGAACTCACTTTAAATCTTACCTTCATTTACCACAGTCTCCGACTGGACACGCTTCATCTGGAAGGGAACATTGGCAGGATCATGTTTTGTTTTCATAAGCATTGCATAATCTTCAAAAAGGGTGAGCAGATCCCTGAATCCAAGGCTGATATGTGAGGGGCTAACTTGGACATCAGTAAAGTAACTGGGCACTGTGCAATGGCCATTTCTTCGGATGTTCAAATCAATGGGCGGACTTCCCTCATTTGCAGTATTCACATCACCTTCCACCTGTTTGATCTCTGCAGTGCTTTCATCTTTGGGACTGCCAGTTTTTGGACTCAGCATCTTAGTCGGTTTTCCCGTTGTGATTTGGAGTGTTTTTTTGTGTATATAAAAAGTATGTGTGTGTGCGAAAGTACATATAGATACTTTCGGGGGAGAGTACAAATTAATTATAATTTTACTTTGCTTCTAATCCGAGTGATTCCAAAACAATTTATCTGAATTTTCAATGAAGGGTTGCTTGTTGTTACCTTATCTACTTTAAACATAACTGGACAGGCCCGGCAATTGACCAGTGGTTAATTTTTGCGCTAAATTAAGCAATTTCCAGTCATGTCTGTGTGGCAAGTCCGAGATGCTTCTGCCACAATTGACACTTCAGGCTCTGGTCTATGGATTTACCCATCTAATGGGACAATTATTTCGGTCTAGCGCACTAATAAATGCATTTATGGATGGGACACAGACAAGAGAGTTTAAATGGTGGAGCTCAGAGTGCATTTTATTCCATCCTGTGAATTGATAGTGCAAATTCAAAGATTTAAATCACAATGTCTCCATTTATTTCATATTTTGTTTTGAAAAACTTCTACGAAACTCTATTAATGTATCATAAATTCATTGAATATCTCGAGTGGTAACTTTTACCACTGGCGTCGCTCTAAGTCCTCTGGCGTCCAGTCCACACCTGCTACTCAGTGGCCGGGATACATTCCTTGGCCCTGGCCATTGTTATCATTTAAAAGGCTTAAGTGCGTCAAAGATTTATATATTTGTATTTGAAGGGGAAGGAATATAAACTCGTAGCGACACTGTTGTCGAGCGAGGAAGACGAACCCCAGTCCCAGGGTACGACGAAATAAGATAAACGTACATTTTATTGATTTTCCTCTCGCCTGTACTGAGCCTGGGCTGCGTGTGTCTGTGTTTGCCTTCGGATTCTGTTGCCATGGACTGCATTTTCCAGCCCCATCGCAATTTTGTCGCCGGTCCAAAAAATAAGGGAGTTGCGAGTGGGCCGAGGACTTAACTGGGCAGCCAACGCCTGCGCTTGATTCATCTCCCAGTTGATTGCTGTTTGTGCAAAAGTGTTGAAGCAGAACAACTGGGATCGAGTGGGCCGTCATCCATTATCTACCATTTCACCCTTTTGCCTGTAAGCTCTACTTTAGGGATGTGAGGCTGGGTTAACCATTCGATCTGGCTTATATGACTTATTCAAGTGGGATCACCCGATCTGGATAGTTTATTATTCCCTTGCAGTCACCTCCGGTAATGTAAAGTATATATATTCTTGATCAGGATCAACAGCCGAGTCAATCTAGCCATGTCCGTCTGTCCGTTTCTACGCAAACTAGTCTCTCAGTTTTTAGGCTGAATGAAACTTTGTAGTAAGTCTTCTATAAACTCTCAATCATGTATCGGATCGGACGACTATATCATATAGCTCACATAGGAACGATCGAGAAATTAATACAATTAAAAATTATAACTCTATCAGTTTTCAACAGATTTTCATAAAATTGAAGTTAGAGCAATTTCATATTATTCTAATATTTCTTATTAAAGTATATGATAATCGGACGACTATACCAACGATCGTTAGATATAGAGGAAAAATGGAAAACTGTGTAAATATAATATGTGTAGGTGAATGAAATGAGAGCATTACTTCATTGTTTTTTTTATTTTAATAAATATAAATAAGTTATATTGTATTGATTCCTAGTCATCGATTTTCTATCTGCAAGGGTATATAAATTTTGTTTTCAAAGAAGGAGGCAGACTAGATTTTTTCATGGAATAAGTAGACATATTTGTGTAAATATGAGGCAAACTTGTCGTGGTTTAACGGAACAGACATTTACTTAGCATTAAGTGGTGAAAGCTAACAGGATAATGCATCGGTCCTGGGGTAACTACGTTCGCAGGGGGTCGACTATCCGGCTGATGCCGAGCTGGATTCGTTTTCCGGCTGGTCAGATCCACACGCAGCCGTCGCGGCGTGATGAGCTCACCGGTCTGGGTGCCCAGTTCGCAATATTGCTGTGGCACTTGCAGAATAACTGCAGAGCGGGTTACTGTGCCCTTACGACTGGTGCTGGGCTCACAATCCAGTTCAAAAGAACTTTATCGTCTTGGTTGGCCTCCAAATCCATGTTGTTGCATTGCACTGAAGACTCCGTTACAGACTCACCCAAGTTCGCATCCGGCAAAAAAAAAAAAAGTATTTTTGATTTGTTTATTTTTTACACATTAAATTTTATTGCAAAATAATACAATTAATACAATACAAAATTACAGTTTTCTCTTTGTGCACGGCTCAGGCGATCAACCATATGCAGTATTCTATGATTCTTCACACTTTATTTCAAAAATAACGATCTGGAAGAGCCGTTCTGTAAAATACTTGGAAGTATACATACTTATTATATTATAAATAAACAAGAAAGGAAGCCAACTTCAGTACACCAAAGTTTGAATACCCTTGCAGATTGAAAATCGATCACTACGAATTAATGCAATATAAATTATATATATATATTTATGTTAAAAAACAATAAAGTAATGCTTTCATTTCATTCACCTATGTATACATATTATATTTGCAGTTTTATAGTCAAATTTTTGCATTTTTCTCCTTTTGTAACGATCATTTGTATGGCATTTCAATAGATGTCCGTTTTTTATAAAATTTAAATCGAAGTTCTAGAATAATAAATAGAGGGGTATTTATTTTAAAATTTATGATCTGTTGAAAACTAAAAAAGTTATACATTTTAATTGTATTATTTTCCCGATCGTTCCTATGAAAGCTATATGATATATGTAGTAGTCCATTTTCATAAAATTTTACAGCAAATTGTAGAATAATATTAATTGGAAATATTTTTTAAATTTGATAAAAATCTGTTGAGAACTAAAAAATAAACAAATTTTTCGGAAAATTTTCCAATTGTTCCTATGGCAGCTATATGATATAGTCGTCCGATCCGGCCTGTTCCGACATTTATACGAGTGAGAGTGTATGGAAGACTAAGTTTCTTTGAGATAGCTTCAAAACTGAGTTTGCGTACAAACGAACAGACGGACGGATAGACGGACGGACAGACGGACGGACATGGCTAGATCTACTCGGCTATTGATGCTGATCATAAATTTATATACTTTATATAGTCGGAGATGACTTCTTCACTGCGTTGCATACTTCTGACTAAAATTATAATACCCTGCTAGGGTATGAAAATTCCAATATTTGTAGAATATATGACAGTTTCATATGTCAAACAAGAAAGGAAGCTAACTTCGGCATGCCGAAGTTTATATACCCTTGCAGATAGAACTTTTATGACTAGGAATCCATACAATATAAATTATATATATTTGTGTTAAATACAATGAAGTAATACCTGCTTTCAATTCATTCACCTATACATATTATATTTGCAGCTTTACATTCACAGATTTGCATTTTTCTTCTACATCAAACGATCGTTTGTATGGCACCTATATCATATAGTTGTCCGATTTACATGAAATTTGACACCAAATTTAAGACTAATATAAAATGACTATACCTCAAATTTAATGAAAATCTGTTAAAAACTGAAAAAGTTATAATTTTTAATTGTATTAATTTCTCGATCGTTCCTATGGGAGCTATATGATATAGTAGTCCGATTTTCATAAAATTTTAAACAAAATTGTAGAGTATAATAAAATGGCTATATTTTAAATTTGATCCAATTCTATTGAAAACTAAAAATGTTATAAATTTTTTTTTTTTTAATTTTCCGATCATTCCTATGGCAGCTATATGATATAGTCGTCCGATCCGGCCCGTTCCGACATATATACGAGTGAGAGTATATAGAAAACTAACTACAAAGTTTCATTCAGATAGCTTCAAAACTGAGAGACTAGTTTGCGTAGAAACGGACAGACGGACAGACGGACAGACGGACAGACGGACATGGCTAGATCGACTCGGCTGATCAAGAATATATATACTTTATATGGTCGGAGGTGCCTCCTTCACTGCGTTGCAAACTTCTGACTGAAATTATAATACCCTGCAAGGGTATAAAAAACGAGATAGTTTCCATAGATAAGGTTTGATACCTTTAAAGTTAAATCTGAGAAAGTGCGCAAAAGTGCACTTTTATACTAGCACCACATAGAAAGAAAAGATCCACGATCACCAACAAATATTACAAGCCCCAGAAAAGGGATTGGCTGTCAAAAGAATCACACTTATTAATTGTTTATACACTTTGTGTCACTTTAAACTCGTCAAATATTTCCAATAACCGGAGTAAGGTGGTCGCAACAGCTGACTTAACAGCTGTTAATAAAACAGTGGCGCGCTCTGTTAAAATTTCTTGTATGTAACATTACAAATTGATGTTATTTGAATACATTCCGGAAACAAGACATGTAATTTAACGACTTTTAAAAAATGGGTTATGGCTAGAAAAAGTAATGCTGCTGCTTTACTAAACCAATACTTCATATTTATTTCATCAAGGGTGAAGCGAATCGATTTATACAAAACTACTTGGGATGGATCCGTGCCAAGTCTTTCTTGAAGCCCATCTGCTGGTTAACGTTTGTCGGCAAGGAGCTGTAGTAGTGGCCCATCAGCAAATAGAGACACCACAGGCACAGGAGAACGAACAGCACATAGGAGAAGTTTTCACCGATCATGTAGGTGCAGGCGACGATGGAGTCCAGTGTCTGGGTCAAGACATTCCACATCCTCTGGCGCAGTGGAGCCCTCTGCATGTCCGTGGCGGAGGTGACCGATTCCACTTCGATGTGGATTGTGTGCTGCAAGGTCTTGCTCGGTTTTTCAGCTCCATGTTCAATGTGTGCATTTCTCCCAATGTCAGCCAATTGTGTCTCCAGGTCCTTCATGTCGAATTGCTTCTGATCCACGGCACTCCAATATGTCTGACTGCTGACATCGCAGGTGGGGGCCTGGATACGTCTGTCCCTTAAAGTGCAATCAGATAGATCCGTAAGACTCGATGACTTGCTTGGTTTGCCATTTTTACTGTCTGAAAAGAAGTAACATACGAATGACTCTTTTTGCATTTAGTTTCAAATCCTCGCCAATTAATTTGTCACGTTCAAATTGTAGCTATATACATAGATAAAAACTAGAAAATGTTTTCTATATAAACTTTTAGTATAACACTTTATTAAATAGACGCTGCTAATGCACCCCATTCACACTCTTCGTGATCACTTCTTTAATGATTTTTATCTCTTAATTTTTGTCCCGCTAGCAACATAGGTTTTTA